CATTAGGATATTTGGAAGCAAGAGAGATTGAAAAATTAGCAACCGCCTTCCCCGGGAATCGAACCGCGGACCCCTGGAGTACCGGCCCAGCGTACAGAAACAATACACCACAAAGGCACGCCAGGAAAGCGGGAGAAATACCTTATAAACGTAGACTGGTAATGGTTTTGATGTTGAAGGATACTGCAAATTTACTGCCGAAATTAAATCGATTTTGCATTTTTGGAACGCTTCGCGAGATTCTGTGGTCCAGGTTATAACACGTTTATCGTTTTTCTTGCTTTCAACCAAAAAAGGATTTAGAGTTGCTTGTATGATTGCTGCATGAAGTAAGAAACGTCGATAAAAATTGAGCATAGCAAGAAATCTTCTTAAGTTCTTCACTGTAGATGATTCGGGTATCTGGAAATGGTCGAACGCCACGAGCAGAAATTTCATGACGTAGAAAGGATACTCTTGGTTGGCCAAAAACGCATTTGGAAGGATTAAGACTGACGCCGTGCCATTGAAAACGTTTGAAAACTGTTCTCAAATGTGATAGGTCTTCCTGCTCTGAAGAGGAGGCGATTAAGACGTCATCAAAATTAGGTACACAAAAGTCTAGGCCGTTTCTCACCTGATTCATAAAGCGTTGGAACGTTTGAGTAGCATTGCATAAGCCGAAAGTCATGACCGGGAAACTCAAGATAGTCCAAAAGGCGTAATAACCGCAGATTTTGGAATATAAGCTGGGTTAACGGGCACTTGATTATGCGCCCGCTCAAGATCAAGGGTTATAAAAATAGCTTTTTCCTCTAAAACTTGCATACAATCTTTAATGTGCGGGACTGGGTAACGATCAGGAATTGTAGCTGCATTTAACCAGCGATAATCTTCACTTACCATTTCGTTTCCGAACTAGATTGAGCGAAGTTGTCCATGAACGTTTTGAAGGACGGCAAATTCCGTGTTCCATCATGTATTGAAATTCCTCTTTGGCGGCTTTAAGCTTGTCCGGAAGTAAACGCCTTGATTTGTTTGGCAATTGGAGGTAAGGTAGTTTCAATATAATGTAGTACATCGTGCTTGGGTTCGGAAATATCTATAACTGGGCGCGTGTTTGTAGGGAATTCTCTAAGAAGTTGATGCCATGGGGAGTTACCCGAAAGCCCACGTACACATCGATCTATTTTCACTTATAAAAATCAAAGAATTGCAGAAACTCGGCATCGCGCACAACCTCGTTATTGCGCACTGCATTGGCTTTGCCCATGTACACATCGATCTATTTTCACTTAAAAAAAATCAGAGAATTGCACAAACTCGGCATGCGCACTGCATTGGCTTTGCCCATGTACCTATCGATCTATTTTCACTCAAAAAACATCAGAGAATTGCACAACCTCAGATTTTCCAATCTTCTAAGATCGAGCCAAAAAGAAGTACAAAATATTAACAATAAGCAACTTTAATACGAACCATATAAGAAAATTTTTTTCACTTACTCTTTTGAAGAAAAATGTAAAATCTTTTTGAGTGGTTTTATATATGTATATTGAGTTTATCTCAGGGGGAAATCCTTTTGGATCACCCCTCATCTTTAAATAAATTTACTAACTTTTTATACTCCATTTCGTAATATATGCAGAAAAAAGGCAAAAACTCACATGGGGAAAAATACTCTATTAAAAAAAGAACCACCGCATAAGAACATTCAAACCGCAACAGAATTAACTGCTCAAATTAACAAGTAAAAATTTAAAAAAAAAAAAAATCAAAGCTTTCAGATTTTACATTACATCCAAAGAGGCATTTTTTTAACGTTTTGTGTGTTACCTTTCTTTATCCAATATAATGTTCTTTACACTTAAACCATAAAAATTCAGTTTAACAGCAATATCACAAAATAATTTTAAAATGACACAAGGCGATAACATCTAGTGGCAACAGAATAACAACATAGCTTCAAAAGACCGGGTTAGCTATATTGGCGCGTTTATTGCTCATTGAAAAACAATCGCCAAGCAGTGGGCTAAGCTGCATTTCAACCTTACTTTTTTTAAAAAAAATGCTATGAAATGGAAGTTGATCTGTCAGCACTATCCTTATTTTCAGGGCAGATGTTTTTATTTTATTCGGCTTATAATTCCTTACTAAATGTAGTATTTCATCTCGATGTACTCCGTCTTTGATATGATTTAAATCAAATTCCTCATCATTATAAATATCACGAATACACATCAAATCGTTTTCTGGTTGCAATTTTCTAATTTCGACTATGCGTAATGTATGCTTTATTTTTGCGCGTGTTGAAAGAAATGTTTAATAAAATAAACAAATAAATATTTAGCTTTTTTTTGTAAATTTTGATGCCCTTTAGATCATATTTGCTCTTTATTTCATAACTTACAGTTTCATATTTTTAATTTTATAATTTCTGCATGCCATCATACCAGATTTAAACTGATGATCTATAATCCGGAAAAACCGATAATCCGGAATCGTCGAAGTCCCGACGAATCCGGATTAAAGACTTTTGACTGTATAATTATGTCTAGATATATTTAATAATAATAAGATAATACATTAATACATTTAATTACTATGAATGCATATTTCTTGCCTTTGATGAAGCAAATTTATCAATTACTTCAACATTGATCAAGTTGATCATTTCAAATTTTTCTCTTTTCACACTTAAAAATGCTATGTCACTTTGGCAATCTTGTCCCAGCGTTGGTTGGACATATGTCAAAATTAATTTTAATTTGCTGAACGAACATTCACAGCTGGCAATTGATGCTGAAATAGTAAGGAGTATTTGAAGTGCGACTCCAGGTTTATAAAAACATCTCCATGCGATATTATAAACGTAAGCAGTTCTAATGGAGTTTTAGGTTCAATTTCTTTTCTATTGTAGAGTAACATCTTGCAGTCACATTTACTTTGCAACAATACAATAATAAAATTTGAATATTATCTATCTCTTCAATTATTTTATCTGAACACTGGTAATAATTTCACTGAATAACAGACTCATCGAGCAGATGTTAAAAAGCAAAATGCACATCAAAGAAATCTATAGTTATAGTTAGTTTACAAAAAAGATATCCCGTCCCTTAGATACAAACATTTTTTATAATCTAATAAATCTCAATTACTTTCTATGCTCCAAAGTTCCATATAACTAACCCTATAATATGTTTCACATGCAATATGCTATCCCCAAATTTTTCTGCTCAGAGCAGATTGCCCTGTCCTCTAGCTAAACCACTGATGCCAAAACCATCAAGAACTGTAGAATCTCTGATATATAAAAGTAAAATCTATGACAGATAGGAGTGACTGTCCTTCGAGATTAAGAAAGAAACATAATTTGCAAGCTGTACACGAAATATTTACCCAGAGTTTACAAATCAAGTCATGCCAAGCTGCTTATGAAGATGGTCTGTATTTCCACTTTCACTATCATGGCCAGTACCAGAATCGGGGAGGAGGGGGTGAACCAGATAGCAAAATGTTTAGAATTTAGGAAGGGAATGGGCAAAAGAATTTTAAAGTAACAGAGAGTTTGCACCAGGTGGTAAAAGGACTAGCACCAATCCAATACAGAACTATTTTAAAGAAGTTAAACAGGTACATTTTGTAATAAAATGGAATCTCACATAATCATGATTACTAAAAATGTGGCTTTGCTGCGATGAAGCTCAGCTACCTCTTTTATATAATCTGACAGGATTGAAATTAGTTATTCTTATAGTTTCAAGATTAAGTAAGTTAATGTGCTAAGGATGATAAATTTAAAAATTAATTTTACAAACTTCTCACTGTTATTTTTCCTCACGATTGAAAAAGACTAAAATGAATTACACGCAAGTTTAAATTTATGTACACTGTATTTATTCGTAAACAGAAAATCCTATAATTATCATATAAATTTCTATTGCAAATAATAAATGTTTATGAAATTACGTAAATTTATAAAAGAGGATTCCCATATTTTTTATATTACATTAAATAAAATGTAAAATGATAGGTGTTATGATAGCCTAACACTTGAATGAAAGGATTTATGGTTATAAGGCAGTGAGTCATATGATAGTTGGAAACATAAACAATTTTGTAAAATATTTTAAAATATCTCTTGATGCTTATCAAATCTGAACTTTTAATGATTTATTTTAAAACTAAATATCATAACATTTTATGGAAAACTTATTTAAATTAATCATTATTTTATTATTTACTTTTCGAAACTGACTAAATTTTATGATTCAACAAATACATTACTTGAACCGTATGACACTACCTACTTGTTTTTCTATATATAATATAGTTCTACACCCTCATTAATGTAAAAAATATTTATTTCTGATAGTTTTACGTTTTTTATATTCTACATGCCAACCTTTCTTACTTCATTACGAAAGATTCTAAAAGAACACAGAAATAAACGAAAATAAAAATTCTGTCTAGTACCGTAACTGTATTTGTAATACATATTTATTCGTATAAATTTAGTTTTTGCTGCATTTCTCTCCTGAACATTAAAAAAAAAAAAAAAAAAAAAAAAAAAAAAAAAAAATAGACATGCACATAGCACATCCTTACATCACACATCATTATTTTCGCAAGCTATGATAGCATTTTAGCTATAAGTTCCTATCTTATGAATTATCCATTTACAAAATAATACTCATAAAGTGAAAGTTTTTTTAAACATGACTACTATCACAAGCTTTCGACATGTACAATGTAAAACACCAATAAAATTACGCAACAAGTATTATAAACCTTACAATTACTACAGCTATTTTAGTTCACGTCTATCGTCAAAAAATCTTAATTTGTTTTCTTGGCAAACGAACCAGTAAAATGATAAATTGCCAATTATAGCTGTCGGATCGTAGCTGGAGTTACGTAGCATAGAACACTCCCGCCAGATGTCTGCCAGATTCCCAACGGAAAGCTGACGCCAAATAACTTGGCGAGAAAGTTGTCGGCAACTCTTCCTACAACCCAAAAAATCTTGAACCTTTCCACTTCCACTCGTGAAGATTTCCTACGAGTAATGAGTTTCGATGTTGACACATAGAGAAGTTTTCAAATGTATTAGACCTAATATATTACTGTTTTTTGTTAATGAATTAGTTGCCAAACGATTTGTTAATACAAAATGACTATCATTTTGTTTCTTATCGACACAAGCGCTTCTATGAACCAGCGAACTTATTTAGGTGCTAGACCTACTCTCTTAGATGTTGCAAAGGATGCTGTTGAAAGATTTATTAAGGTTTGTTGTATATTTCCGGAAGTGGTCAAAATACTGTGACTAGTTTATAAGAAATTAAGAAAATGGGGTTAATTTTTGCATCTGCCCCGCTTTTTTATAACTTAACTTTAAACAAAAGTGAATGGGCCAGTGATTTTTTTTTTTTTTCACTTTTTATTTTCTGATTGCTGTGCCACGAATTTTAAATTGTTTGTTCATTAATATCCTATGCACGATCATTCAGATTGTTATCGTATCAAGAAATTGGGCACATCTTTATATATAGGCATATATATATATAGTCTCTGGTATTGGTTTGTTGCTGCTTCTGAACGGATACAGTCCCTGCACACTGATAATTCATTCAAAATTTCATTTGTCGTTGAATGAGCGATCTACTTTTGTTTTTGTTTGTTTGATACGCTTATTTGTTTTAATTGCAAGTTTTTTTTGTGTACTCCTTTTCTTTGGCTGGCACTCTTTAATCATTACTCACAATGTCTATCTTACTAGTAATATGATTATTATTATACACAAAGTATTTTACAAATTTGTAAATTTCGGGATGTATAAGTTTTATTAATACAAGTATATGTTATAGGATGTATGTGTAGTGCTGCCAGAATTATATTTAATCTAATAATTAAAAGTTTCTGTAGGCAAACTTGGTAAATATATATTTTAAAATAGTAAGCCAAATATGACATTCAACCCTCACATTACGATCTATACTGCTTTTGAATTATAGGGTTATTGTATATATGATTTATGGCTGAATGAGACAAATTATGGAACACTTGTAGTTTTATTTTGGTTTTTGTCCTAGACCTGAATAGTTGTTTTTATGACCTTTCTATGTATAATGTGTATAAGCCACCCTGAATATATTCTTTGACTGGTCTATGACAAAAAATGTTTATTTTCTTAGATTTTTTTGGAGTGATATTTTATATTTCATTTGGTACTCTTCTGTTACCAGGATCAGATTCAGAAATATATGTATGTATACATGAGTTTATATATGAGCATATGTGTATATACATACATATGTACCTACATATATACATGAATACATCCATCCATCACACCTTTCTGAATGTAGTCCTGATAACAGAAGAGTACCTTTCATTTTCATTTTGAGGGAAAAATCTTTTCTAATAATATTTTATGTGTACATGCAATATGGCAGCAAAATGTAAAAGCTGTTGATCAAACTGAAAATAAGCTTCATCTAACAATATTTTGCTACAATTCTGTTATGAAAATACAGCCACAATTTTATAAATTTTGAGCTAATTTCAGGAACATAAAATTTCCTTTGTAAGAAAAAAATGATTCTTTGTGTTATATTGAGAGTCAACTGTTTATTATTTGAAATATTAGCAATATTCGCAGTGATAAAAGAATAAAATTTGTTTAATTGCATATAATTTCTGTTGATGTACACATTAAGAGCTGTTGCATATGTAATTATATTAATCATTGCTTGTAATTATATCAAATTCAATGAATGGAAGTATGAAATATAAAATGAAGAATTTTATTTTAAATTAGAAATGTTTGAATACTTCAGTTTCTTCTTAGCGACTTCAATCCATAAATTAATGAACATTACGTAGACTGAAAAAATTTAATTAAAGTATAATATGTACAAACTTTTGATAAACTTAAAAACTGCTCAGCTGTTTAAAAAAATTATTCCATAGCAGAAAGTAATGTTAATTATTTAAAACTATGTCTAAAAAATATCCACATGTTGTATGCAGATTTAAAATATTATGTGCATCTCTAATAATCATTTGTACATCTTTGTCAATCTCTAATAAGTCTTTAGGTGTTTTTTAAACTAGACTAGAAAATAAAGCATGCCCTGTTTTCATTTTAATCTATTGAGAAACCTGCAGACTTAACAACTTTATTTAAAATGTGTTCATAAAATTTCTAGTTAGGCATACCTGTATCAGCAAATATATATGTGATGTACCAGCTTTTGTCCGGAATAAATAGATTGGTGAAGAATCATAAATGTAGTCGTAGCTTATATTATCAGACGATAAGTTTAAAAAACAGGATCCATTTATTATTATTCAGGAGAAATAGCAATTACAAAAATCTGATCTCCGGAGTAAATTGAAAAGAATTACTAATAACTTTTTGTATGAAGTTTACTGTATCATTACATTAAAGAAAAGACCCCGATATTCTTTTGCGAGTCCTTTTATAGCCTCTGAAAAGACGGAGCTTCCAAGAAATGACATCAGCCATTCCAGTTCGCTTTAAATATCTCCAGAACATTCTATAACTGTACGTGTAGAAAAAGTGGGAAAAACAACTTGACTACGGGGCTGTGGATTTAATTCCACGTACTTTCACATAAGAGACCGTCGCCATTAAAAAAATGAAAAGAACATACAGTTAGAATTTTAAGTGTGTTCTTGACTATGGAATTTAATTATTACATATATATATATATTAGGTTTCTTTTTCTGCAGATTTTTATGACAAAATGTAATTTTGTATTGTTATTTGTTTCATCTGTGTGTTTCATTGTGTTATTTTGATTTTGTAGATAAGGCAAAGAGATTCTGCAAGTAGAGGAGATAGGTATATGCTTTTAACATTTGAAGATCCCCCTGGAAACATAAAGGTTTGTATCTTTCTCAAGTATATATCATGGAGGTAGGAATAAAAGGAAGAGCCAACTTTGCACTACGACTGAAGCAATGCTCCCAGGCTTTGCTCTCTAGATGGGGTATTTTTTTGTTTATATCCAAAGCTTCCTTGACAGCATTTTAATAGTATTTCCACACACTACAGTTCCATTCATTCGAACTTCTTCACAAAAGAAACATTCATTGTTGGGTGGATAATAGCAATTTGTATAGTGACATTTACGCAAAAGTCACATCTTGATTATTTTTCGATAACATGCAACAGTGATTTTGATTATGAATTTGTTTTATAAAATTCTAAGCTACAAAAGTATAGATTTTAGAAAAAATGTTATGTGTAAAGAAAGAAAAATACCTTATGGTATCTTTAAACTTGTATACGTCTTTTGATACCCTTGATAGAGTATTCGCTACTTTTATTTCATGTTCCGAACATTAAAATGTTTTAAATAAAATATATTCTTTTGTAAATTACTTTACTTGAAAAATATAGTGAATGTCAGGACCGGATTAGGGGTTTTTCCGAATTATAGATCATCAGTTTAAATCTGGTAAGATGGCATGCAGAAATTATACAATTAAAAATATGAAACCATAATTTATTAAATTAAGAGCAATTATGATCTAAAGGGTATCAAATTTAACAAAAAAAGCTTAATATTTATTTGTTTACTTTATTAAACATTTCTTTCAATGCGCACATTCTTTACGCTCATGCGTAAAGCACACACACAAAAAAACACCTTTTGACACCTTTGAGGTCCGAATTATAGATCATTCTGGATAATGGACGTCCGGATTACGGGCTTTGTACTGTGTATATAGGTATTTATGCACATGCTTGCAAAAAGCATGTATGCCTTTAACGAAATACGTAAATATTTATTAAATTATTTTTAAATGTATTTGGAAATGAAGCATTTATTCATTTATAAACTCCTGCGAATGTTTCTGTAAAGAAATTTAGTTATTAAATATATCTAAATTTATAATTATTATAAATATTATCTAAATACATGCAGTACAAAGACCGTGATCCAGAATCATCGGGACTTAAGTGATTCTGGATTTGGGATTTTTCCAGATGTTAGATAATCAGTTTAAATCTAGTAAGATGGCATGTAGAAATTACAAGATTAAAAATATGAAACCATGATTTATGAAATAATGAAGCATTTATAATCTAAAGGGTATCAAAATTTACAAAAAAAAAAAAAAAAAAAAAAAAAAAAAGGCTTAACATTTTATTTGTTCACTTTATTAAACATTTCTTTCAATGTAATTTGTTTAAGATGCTTCATTTTTTGTGCTAATACTTTCTCTTTAATTCCGTAGACAGGTATAATTTCTTGTTCAGTTAAAGTTCCATTGTTCAAATCTAATTGCTGTTTTGAGAATTCTGACTAATTTTCATTGAATTTTTTTTTTTTTGTTTTTTTGTTTTCAATAAAGTCTTTGTCACTTTTTTCACTATAGGTAATGCTTTTTTCTGGATCTAGAACCATGCTACAAATTTTGTCGTCTGTTGACGGATGATTGGGGCATTGTCATCGCAATGAAAAAGTTCTGTTATATCATGTTATATCATCTACATTTATTTCCGCTTCTCCACATTTCTTTACAAAATCCATTTATTGGAAAATTTCATCTTTGGTTTGAGATATTCGAAAACCTACAAATCCGTGGCTATCATCTTCAACATCAACCTCACCATTGTAGTTGCCATAAATTATGCCAAGCCTTTTTAAAAATATCTGGAGACAAATCCTTCTACAATCTTGAGATGCTCCACACAACCGATTTTATACTAAAATATTTAAAAAATTCTTGAATAGTCTTGCCAATATTCAAGAAATTTAACATGGATTTTAAAAATGTAACTTTATATTTGCATTTCAGCATGCACATTATTCCAATATCCATAGGCTGAATAATGGACATACAATTTAGAGGAAAGAATAATACAGATACATTATCTTTCACTAAAACTTTAAGTGAAGTATGAGCCGAACAGTTGTCTGTAATCAGGGCAATTTTCGCGTCATCAGGTAAACCAACCGAATTAAAATGTTGCTGAGACTCGGGTATAGAATTATTTTCAAACCAATCATTCATTAACTCTTGTGTCATCCATGCTGTTTTATTTGCACGATATATAACGGAGAAAATATTCACTTCTTTAAATGCTCGAGCACATTTATTCTTTCTGATTATGAAACATGTACACCTGTACGTTCCTGCAGTATTTTCACATGGTAAAATTGTTAGTCTTGCTTTGGAATCTTTTGATAGGAATGACTTAGATGGCAGATATATATTTTGAAATATGGTAGAAAGAAAAACAAACCACAAATGCACCTTAGATGTTTATTTTTGAGAGTAAGTAGACGGTTGCCATTCGGCAAAACTAAAAAGAGCTACATATGAATTGACAAACATAGAGTGCAAGATTATTGCATTGCTTTGGCAAAAAGAAGTTTTATTTCTAACATCTTTGACACCAGTTGGAGTCTTTTCTGTAGATGTTGCCAAAGTATCCGCAGTACAAATTGCCAGAAAAGACCTGTTTCATCAGCATTGTAAATTTGTTCTGGAGATAACTTTTCACTGTTAACGAGTTCAATGAATTCATTTTTAAATATTTCAGCAGCTTCAGTATTATCTGAAGCTTTTTTAATTGCCTTATACCATGGTGATTTTTATATTTGATTAACCAGCCTGCTGAATGTATGCACTTACCTTTTAAATACATTTCTTCATGAAATATTTTGGCTTGAGCCATTAGTATAGGACCTGTCAATGTATGCCGTCACTGTAACACGGTCTGATCCATTCAGTCATCACTTTGTCATGATTGTCACTTTTAGCATAACGAATAATTTTTCTGTTATTCATTGCAAGTGGGATGTTGGAATCCACAAAACATTCCTTTTTCTGTTTTCATATGTCGTATATCGTTGACCAATGCCATACTTCTCATGTAATTTTGAGACTGAGATACATTTATCCATTTTTTGCAGCAATTCCACTTTTTGTGTAATGGACAATTGCATGTTTTCGTTTTGTAGATCCTGTTGCAGCTCCAGAATTAGAAATTCATTTCGACATAATCGGAAGTTCAAACTTAATTTTCATAAAATTGCTGTAAAAATAACAGCCCACAAATGGATCAAATCAGAAAGTTAAGAAACAGGAATTATTCGCGTACATATCATGACATTGGCGATGAATGGCAAGTTGTTCCGCTAAATTTTGTCTTGCTTCTATCGTGCACTGAGCCTGAATTGTATTAGTTTAGTTATTTATTATACTTGCATCTATTTCTTTCACATGAGCTTATGAGTCCTGAATAAATAAATTGTCACTACTTAAGGTTTATCGAGGGCTGGCACTAGATATCTTACTGATACAGTTACTGCGGGTCTCAAATTCTGCTAGCAAGCACCTCTCTAAGTTCTAAATTTTGGATCCTAATGCTTTCCCTAAACTCTAAAAATTTTGTCATACCTTAGTTTTGTTGCTTGATGCTTATCTAAATTCCAAAAATTTTGTCTTTCCTAAATTCTGTCGCCCAGTGTGCTATACAAGCTCTGATTCTGGGTTTATGGTGAATAACATATCAGTTATTCTTAGTTAAAATAGCACTAAATGTAATCTGTTGGCCTATGAGTTTCATTAACGAAATTTGTTTTTAGCATATGAAAAGAAATTTTGGTTGAATTTTTCTCTCATCAACGTTTCTTAGCACATTTAACTAAAATCTGTCATCGCCAAACGTAATGTCAATACAAAATATTACCATACTCTTTGTTATTCAATTACTAATATAAAAAGATGTTTAGGCATCGATTCCGAGTCCTCACTCAAGTTGTCATGTGTTGATAAACTTGCAGTGATGAAACCAAAATATAATAAATAATGATTCGTCAGGTTGGCATCAGGGATATAAAATATTAGCAGGTGTAAAATCAACGTACTATTTAACACTAAGGATTTTATTTAGTCCTGAAGTGAAATTAAGAATCGGGACTCTCCACATGTTTTACTGTGGGGGGGGGGGAGGGAATCAATTTTGCATGCATACAGCATACCACCACCCCCCAAAAAAATCTGAAAGGTTTCAGATTTTAAATGACATCTAAAGGGACTTTTTTTTTAACATTTTATATGTTACCTTTATTTATTAAATATCATGTTCTTTGCACTTAAACCATAAAAATTCAGTTCAATAGAAGTGATGCAAAATAATTTAAAAATGAGCATATCGTTAGAGTTTCCGATACACCATTCCGCGCACTGGAGAAAAATGCCCTCCCCTTCCGTAAGTGTTGCCATTGCTCACTTTGAAATTGTTGAGTTTGTTAATCAAAATTTGTTAAAGTTTTACAAAATATGAAATCGATAATAAAACAAATTCCAAATTTGGGCTTCCAGATGCCCATATCGAGTTTAAGATTACGCTATCAGATGCCTATATTCACAGTAGGATTACATCATTCAAAATTGGATGGCTCTAGGTACCGTTGTTTTATCATAATGCGAGAAACATACATACATTTATGCAGATTCTTCATTATTTAATTTCTTCAAATATAATACAGGGCGGTAGTATTTGGTGGTAACGATTTGAAAAATGATACGCTGTTTATAGAGTTCCGACGCAAAATCACAAAACGAAAACAATAGCCTTCAGGACAAAGACCCTTTTGACTTAAAAAAATCATTGATGGGTTTTGGGATCTGTATTTGAGATGACTCCAGATATCTGGATCTTGGACTTTGTACTCTAATAACCTTAACATTTAATTATAAACATAAATTGAAATTATTTTGACAAATACATTTATAAAATTATTTCACCAAGAATTGTGCGTATCGAAAAGCAATCTCTTGAAATGCATTGTAAAGCAAATTCTTTGAGATGCGTACAGTCAAAAAGTCGTTAATTCAGACACCCATAATCCAGAATGATCTA